AGGCAGCACGCCGCTGGGCTGCTACAGGAAGCTGGTGGAGTACTGCCGGAACGGGGACCTGTCCTTCCAGTACGTGAAGACCTTCAACATGGACGAGTACGTGGGTGAGTGGCCGCGCGGGAGCGGTTTGTGGCGTTCCGGAGCCGTTTGGCTGGGCTGTAGCTCTGCCCGCGCAGGGGCCGGGCCGTGTCCCCACACAGGGCGCGGTGGGGGCAGAGGGTCCCACCTGCGGAAAGTGACGGTAGGAGGGATGAAATCTGCGTTAGAAATGGGAGTTAACAGGGATGATTAGAAGACCTAAATAAGAAATGTTAAGGGCATGAGGTGTGGGCTGGTGTTACAGCCTGCCTGCGGTGTTTGACCTGAAATGGGGTGTTGGCCAGCTGAGGAGCTGTCTCATCGTAAGCTGAGATAGTGTGTGGTATTGCTCCGGGATTATAAAGGTCACTTTGGCCCCAGGGCTCTCCCAAGGACAGATGTGACCCCCACATCTCCCCCAGGCCCTGCGTTCCTGTGAGGAGAGCGGGGGACTGTTCATGGAGCTGTGGTGAAATAGCTGCTTCAGAAGAGAGTACAGAGGGATTAGCGGGCAAGCCTAGAGCTCCAAAGGTGAAAAACACACAGGCTAAATATTTGCTATTGCCAGTTTTAGTCTGGTCAAGAAGTTTTCTGTGAACAGTCCTAATCAAGCAGCATTAGGGAACAGGCAGTGTGGCTTTATAGCGTTCAAGGGGAAAAAATGTATGCAGTGAGTTATTTCCCAGGCTTCTGCAGAGTTTTTTAGTTGTCTTTGCCAATACAAACTGGGAGGAATGGTGAAAAAGTAGTAACAGATGAGGCACAGCACATGCCTGCTTTTCTGGGACGTCCATCGCATGTTAATACGAGCACGTGCCTTATAGGAGCTGTGGTGATTGACTTTAATTTTGCTGTTTGGGGAAATAAAAACAACTTGGGAAAGTTGAGGGAGTCACAGATGATACACAAGAGAAAGCAGTGCTCTGTCACCAACACCACTGCTGGTTTATGCTAAGGGTGATGTTCTTTCAGTTGTCTTAGTCCTGTGCATGCTCTGCCACCAGGTCTCCCAAGGGATCACCCGGAAAGTTACCATTCCTTCATGTGGAATAACTTCTTTAAGCATATTGACATCTCGGCAGAAAACGTTCACATTTTGGATGGAAACGCACCTGATCTGCAGGCAGAGTGTGACGCATTTGAGGATAAAATCAAAGCAGCTGGAGGAATTGAACTCTTTGTTGGAGGTAAAAACTGAACGACGAGCCATCTCTAAGCACTGGCAGGAAGAACTGCCCTTCCTCCACCAGCTCTCATGTGTTGTCAGTTCATTTTCAGTGCAGTCCAGTAGGTTTGCAGTGAAAGCCACCCCATACTCCATCGCCCTGAGCACTCGTGTGTGCTGGCAGCCTTGTCTTCCAAACGCTCCCCCAGTTTTAAGTTATTTCAGTCCAGTAAGTGAATTGTTCAGGAAATGGTTAGTGGGAGAAACAGGCAGGGCTCAAATTGTACCGAATATAAAATGTATTACAATTGCCAGTGCTAACAGGAAACTGCTAGGAGTAGCCAGAGTCCTGAGCCAACAGGAGCTTAGCATAAGCTTTTCCCATCAGTTTGTGTTAAGATTCTGCCATCTGTTGTCGCAGCACAATTAGGAAAGAGTCTCTGCTGGTTTCAGAGGGGGCTTTTGTTGTCATTCCTACCAGCAGCAAATCTGAGCTCGAGCAGAAAAACTGCAAGTGTTTTTCTCAGATCTGCATCTATTGATGAAGCATTGAATGTCCTTGTAATAGGAGTGCTGCTGGCTCTGCTTCTGACAACAACCATGACAGCCACTGACCTGCTTCTCAAACTGTCCTTGTCACAGGTATTGGCCCAGATGGTCACATCGCCTTCAACGAGCCTGGATCAAGTTTGGTATCCAGGACACGAGTGAAGACCTTGGCTATGGACACGATACTGGCTAATGCTAGGTTCTTTGATGGTGACCTCTCCAAAGTCCCCACAATGGCCTTGACAGTCGGAGTAGGCACTGTCATGGACGCCAGAGAGGTTAGGAAAAAAGCGGTGACTTCAGCAGTAGTCCTTGAGCAGGGCTTCCTGGAGTAGCTGAGGATGGTGCAGGCCTGGAGCAGCATTGCACCCTGCTGGCGTAGGCCGGCTTGTGCTTCTCCTGCCACAGGCGGCTGAACACCTCCTCCTCCTGGGCTCTTGCTTCCTGCAACACCATGGAAGGGCTCTGCTCTGTTTTCCATTTTTGCTCTACTAATGCTTACGTTTGTGTAACCCTGCGGTACAGTTGGGATCCACAGGGAGCTAAAAACACCGGGGAGGATGTCTGTGGGTAAGAATCTCAGCTGGGGAAAAAATGCGAGAATCACTGGCTGACTTGATGTTACACCAGCAGATCTTGAAAGCCATATGGGATAGCTTTTAATTGAGTCTATACCTTGATTTATACTTGTTAAGTCTCAGCACATAGGTGCTTAACAGGGGAGGTCCAAGTATTCAGAGCATTACAGTGACCCACCCTGGCTGTGATTTAATTGACAAAATGCAGCCAGAGCAAATGGAATTGTAATACAGTGAAATGCCTCTGGAGATGATGACAGAGATATCCCGCGTTAGGGACTGGGGCAGCTCTCTCTGAGAGGTGTGCAGTCTCTGAATGCATCTTCTAGACCCTAACTGCCATCCTCTGTGTCTCGGAGTCCAGGTGATGATTCTCATCACGGGAGCCCACAAAGCCTTCGCTTTGTACAAAGCCATCGAGGAAGGTGTCAATCACATGTGGACGGTATCTGCTTTCCAGCAACACCCCAACACCGTCTTTGTGTGCGATGAGGATGCCACGCTGGAACTCAAAGTTAAGACGGTGAAATACTTTAAAGGTGAGTGTTTGACCAGACCAAGCAGCTGTTGTATGCAGCTTTTAAGTGGCAAAAGCCATGCTTTGCATTAGGTGTTTTTGTTTAATAACTCCCAAAAGAGTGCATTCCTTAAATGTAACAGCTGAGAGGGACAGCCATGAGAAAAGTGCAAAGGGAAGGCTTACCTGTGTGGGCATGGGAGCAAAGGAACAAGGACTCTAGTAATGCCTAATTTCATTAACATCCAGTGAATGAGAATTTTGCTTTAATATGTCTACTTAAGTCACCTTTTTACTTGCTACATTAGGTTTAATGCTGGTTCACAACAAGCTTGTGGAACCCTTGTACAGCATGAAGGAGATGGGCGCAGAAAGAAGCCAGTCAAAGAAGCCATACAGCGATTAATCTCTTGCTGTTCAGAGCAATGCTGAACCAGCTTTTCTGTTGAAAACCAGCTGTGAAGAAAGGGAATTGCTGCAGGAACTCGTATTTGTTCTTAAATTATCAAAATTATTATGTGCCTGCTTCTCTCCATTAAAAAGACAGATGCAACACCTGCCTTGATTAACCAAATGAGGATGGGATCCAGTATATTGCGTTCCACAAACTTCTGCCACTAGCTTATTCTCTGAAGGTAAAAATCAACAGAGAATGACTTGTTTAAAACATCTATGAAGCAACTGTAATCACAGGGACTGAAGTCCCCAAAACTTACATGTGAAGATATGATAAACGCTCAGACTGGACAGAAGGAAAAAACCGACCCATGAGGACAGTCAAGCAGTGGGGCAGGGTCCCCAGAGACGTTGTGCAATCTCTATCCTGAAGAGATTTTTCAAGACCTGACTGGATAAAGCCCTAGCTGAACCCCGCTTTGAGCCAGATGCTGGACCTGAGACCGTCTCGGCAGAGGAGAGGCTACAGCCAACATTGGTCAGTGCTGTATTCATAAGGCAGTACCAGTAATGCAATTTACAAATCTGTATGATTTTATTTGTTGTAGCACAAGAAGGTTTACCTATTCCATTTCAGGGTATGATTGTCTACACCCTGGTGCTTTATGATGTACTATGGGAGGGTGCATTTGTTCAGATTTGTCCTCCCCTGCCTCACTGCAGAATATAGGAACTCCAGCCCGGGGGTGCCCAAGCACCCAGAATTCAGACACAGGGGTGACCGCACTCCTCCTCTCTCCACACAAAGTTCTTGAAAGCAGAGGTCATTCATTGCACCATCCCCAAATACTTCACCACAGCATTTGAGCTGGGGTAGCTCTGGCAGACATCCCCAGCCACAGCTTTGCGTCCCTTTGGCATCCAGGCCCTGTCCTCAGCCCACCTCTGTCCTGGGAGAAGGGACCTGCCCACTCTCCTCTAGGTGTAAGAGATCCAACACCATCTCCTCCAGCCAGGCAGGACCCCATTTAAGTACATGCTTCTCCTCACAAACATGCCCTGTCTGCCCCCAGATGCAGCTTAGGGGGAAGGAAGCCCCTTCCAAAAGGAGGCAGCTTTGGGACTGAGCCTGGAGAGTTAAAAATTGTGTCCAGAGTGGAAACTCCAGTGGGGATTGCAGCTAAAAGCTGGCTCCATCCGCTGTGGCGTTCCCACAGCAGTCTCACAATAGCTGCTGCCATGTATCATTTAGGGGCTTGCATCTCCCAGGGAAAACCAGGGCTCTTTGCAAACATAAACATCCAAACTTCCATCAGCAGAACAGATCTGTGCCGGCTTTGCCTGCGAGCTTTGTGTGAGCCCAGGTCTGGTCTGCATCATTCTCCATCTGACCACGCGAGCGCCTGCCTGGGCCCCGTGGCACACAAGCACCAGCGGCGATTGCTGCCCAGACACAGGACAGAGCTCTGTCCGCACACCGACCTGTGCTGCCATATCCCTGCCAGAATGATGACAAACAAACAAGGAAACAACTCTATTTACTGTCTTAAAGTGAATTTAGTGCATGTGAAAGGTGCAGGAAATACAATTTAAACCATACACAATGCAAACCTTAAAAAAATGTCCTACAGCCTAAACCAAGATGAGAGACGCTCTTACCCTCTCATCTTTTTAATCGCTGCCAATTCTAGTAGTACACTTTCATCCTGTGCAAAACGAACTAAATCAGCACTCATTTTGGCCAGATATCCAAGTACAAATTTATTTACTATCAGTCAAAACCAACTGAGAAGTGTTCACCTTAAGTTTCTGAAGAGTATTCCAGCTCCTGAGCTATCCCTCCAGACCCTGCTATTTGTTTTGAGCACATCACATGCAGGTTTAATTTCAAAATAAATTTTTAGACCACTCTGCAAGTGGAAAGATTTCAAAAAAATTAGTGGTTCCCTCCAGTAATTATTTTCATGCTCACAAAACTATTTAACTGAGCTTTTAGGGGAAACGATTCAATTTTTGAAATAATCTGAACTGCAAGAACAGTGGAAATAAGGGATCTATTTCAGAAGCAAAATTATCAACTAATCAAATTTCTTGTATGAAGAGTTAGTAAAAAATAAATTAATTCATAATCTGAGAAGATCAGGTAACTTTCAATATCTTAAAGAATTCAAGTCAGTCTCAACAATGTATCCATAAAAATGCAGACTGAGGCTTTTCACCCTCTCACTGGCCACTCAGTTCATTGCCTTAGCACTCATCAGTCAAAACCAGGAGAGGCAACGTGAGTGAATACACCAGCAACCCCGAGAGGAGTCATCAAACTGATCCAAATTTCTGAAAAAGGCCACTGGTCATTTTCTGCCACAGTATTCGGTACTGCGAAGACCTGGGCATTACGGCCAGTGAGACAGGGGTTAGGGATAATCAACTTCACCATCGTTCGAAAATGTCAGTGGCAGAGCAAGGAGCTGCTTTGCAGAGAAACAGGTCACGAAATGCTGTAGGAGCAACAGGCTCAGTTGCTGAATACAGAAGAAATTTTCTGTATTTTATCAGAAAACTTTCCCTGTCCAAACAGCACCACTAAACAGCTCCAGAACGAGCGCTACAGCTACAACAGAGCTGCCCTCAAACCCACAACGGATATGAGCCAAGATCATCAAAAGATCAGGCTCCCTAAAGGAAACCCCCAAATACTTCTATGATTTGGGGCTTCAGGTTTGTTTCTTTGCTTTTGAAAAAGGGGCACCTCTTAGTATATATTTTTCCAGTAATTTTCCAACTTCTAACTGGTTGTATTTCTCTGTAACAATCAATATGATTATTAGGGCTTTCCACGGTGATCCTGACCACAGGATGGGTAAAATGGTCTCCTTTGGTTTTGGCAACAGCCTCTGAAGTGGGAGGATCCTGCAGTGCAAGGTAGTTACCATTCTTCTGTCACATAATGGAAAGGAAAAGCAAACTTGACATGAAAACAGAAAGCATCTGTCTCCAGTATGTTCAGGTTTTGTTGCTAGAGAAAGCTCCTACTCTTCATCTTCAGGTTCCCAGAACTCACCATCAATATGCATAGCTTGAAACAATCTGCAAGAGAGCCAAAAATTTACGTCAGGATGTAAAAAAAGTAAAATATATTAAAAAAAAAATTATTAATCTATATGTGACCAAAAAAACAAAAGCAGGAAGTTTCACAATTTTTGTCTATCATAGAACACCAGCAGGTTTTAACAGTACCTTACAAACATGATCTCTCAAGAAATCCTTGAAAATATTAATAATCCAAAAGGTATTAAAAGTTACGTAGCACGCTGCCATTCCTGGTTGGGCATCAGGCAGTATGTAACCAGCAGCCACGTCTGCCTGCTCCTGATCTGACCACACAGAGCTGGGCAAACAACTGAAACTTACAAGCAAAGGGAGGAACAAAAGGGAAGAAAATGTTTTTCTTATAAAACAGATGAGCTTTGTCAAGATAGGTAGAGGTTAAGCTAAACAAAGAGAAAAAAGAACAAGAGACACCAGAAGAAAACCAGAAGGGAAAACAGGGCAGAACTGTAAAACAAAAGTTCTTAAAAAGCAAAACTGTCCCAAATCACTCCTGATTTTTTTATTGTTACTGTCAGGTCCTTGTAAGTATTTGAGGGAAGAAACTGTGTCTTAAACTGCATAGCTACAAATTTCAAGGTAAGTATAACCTGTGAGAGACTAAGAAAAAATACAGAAATAAGTCGTATGGCACTAGAAGAAACACAGGTAACTACAGACCTGTTAAAGCACGGGGAGGCTGGATCGTTGAAGTGCCTGTAGGGGTTCACCCTCGACAGAGAGCCCATGCAGAGCCAGCAGAAATACTGCATGCAGCCAGTGCACGTCATTTTGTTACATCCATCTAGTTTCTGGCAGGCAAAGGAAACAAGGAACATCAATAACAGAATCTGACCATGGCAGCCTGCAGGGCTGCCCCACATCCCCTGATGAATACATTTTACCCCGACTCCATCGTAACACTGATACTTTTCCACTGTTCAAGAGAACTAGGAACTAGAATTGCAGAATTGTAAGTTGGTTCTAATACTAACAATAATGGAAATCAGTATTCTCCTGAAGCTGGTTTTATTTACTGGCTGTAGTTCGAAACAGCAATAGCCTGAAACACATGGAAAAAACCGGGATTCATATGGATCCATATTCAACCTGGATCTTTTTGGTACTGGAGCTGGAACAAGCCCAGCTGCTGTATTACTGAAGTCCTTGAGCTCCGGAAACATCCCCTCCTTGTCTGTGTAACACAGACAGAAAGGGAAAGGTCTCTTACAATTTTCTAGACGTTTACCTTCCCTGGTATAATAATAAATCTCTGTTCCAGCCTAAATACAGAAGTGACTTAACAATTTCTGTTAGTTTCTGTTGGGACTTTCTGTGACTCTCCAGCCTCTCCCCTCCATGCTCACCTCTATGGGAGTACCGCAGCAAGGACAAGCCTTCGAGTTCTTCTCCAGCCATTCTTTACTCTCCATCTCCTCGAGGGCTTTCTGAATCACTCGCTTGCCATAGCGTTGCTCCAAAAATCTTTTAGTTGCCTCATCTGCTTCTAAATATTCATTGCGCAAATCCATTAATTTCTCTGGGGAATAAAACAAAAAGCAACAAACCATCGTAATGTATTATATAATGAAGTCCAGCTGGTAACAGCATAAAGTATTCTCAAGGGAAACTAACATCATTAATTAAAGAGTAAAACATGAGAATACCTAAGAAAAAGGTGAGAATATTGAAATCTCTTTACCTCAAAATTCAACGGTTTTACAGCATTTCATGATAAAAGAAAACAGTCAATGAAATTAGAACAAATCTACAATGTAAAATAAACTGGAAAACAGAAATATTTTTTCTGAACACACATTTGATGAAACTTTGTTGCAGCATTTTGAAGCCAAACAGATAGAGAAGCATCCATCTGATTCCAGTATCAACTCTGACAACAGAAAGTAGTGGATTCACAGGAAAGGGGAAAAAAAGCACATATAAAATTGTTCTTCCCCTGCTATGGCCTCTCAGAATTTGAAAAAGGTTCAGGGGCTCCCTGAGCTGTGGAGTGCCAAAGGAACACTTTTTAATTGCCAACAACAGACCTACTCCAAATGCATCCATGTAATCTTTTAGAAAGTTCACGTGGTGATCAGTTCTCTTGGTTATTTTCTGACTCTCGTTCTTTTTCACACAACACTTAATCGCTTCTTGATCCATTTCTGGAATGCGCTGACTCACCTGCGGTGACTTTACACGGCGAGACCCCGTGGTAAGTCATGCTACAGAGGGTGCAGAACGCGTAGTTACAACAGGAGCAGATGCCCATGGTGCAGCCGGGCTCTTGCATGACGGGGGTCTGACAGCCCGGGCGAGGGCAGTACACCACGTCTGCCATCAGGTCCAAGCTGGACTGCAGCAGCAGGCGGTCGTACCGTGCAAACAGCTCCTCTCCAACCAACTCTTTCACCTGAACAAAGATCAGAGAGAGAGGACACATGTTGGAGATTCTGAGCCTGCTAGCTTCAGCACAACAACAGTCAATGAAAAAGTACCTACAGCTGGGATGATCCACTTTGTATGCTCCAGTAGGTCATGAAAACACTGTATCAATATTATTTTAATAATATTATTTATGATA